TGGAGTTGGCATGGGTTTTGTGCAATCAGGTTTTTTTGATAAATGTACACTGCACATGCAAATCTCTAAGCCTGTTTGTAAACATTACTATCTTCCTTTACATAGCTAAATCAACATGTAGCTTTTGTTCAACTTAAAAGACAGTGGGCAATTAACTTAAATTATATAAAATAAAAGACAGTGCATTTATGTTCTTCATAACACCAATTTTTCCAGTGGTGTTTTTTTCCTACAAAAATTAAATAAGTTTTAAAACTCACTCATTGAAGTTATACAATGCAAACAAAGACAAAAATATACTGAAACGCATGCATTTCCATAGCGTTAATATTTACTTTTCAAGACTCAACTGAGAGCGTTAACACAACTTGTCAATTTCCTTGACACCCCCCCAGCCCATTTAATCAATTACAGTATACAACAGTAATTCACATTTTTAAATGCACAGTTCGCAACTGCTGAAGCTGCAACATCCTTTTTCATCCCAAGCACACTTCACACAGTCCAGCAATTCCAGTGTATTTTTGAAAATCTGTGTTTGTTTTTAATTGGGAACTGTTGTAATACACAAGTTAGAATAATATCTTAGCTGCTTATTTAAAAATAGATACTCCAGCATTTCAGAAATTTACCATTTGGGTCTAAAAGCATTCAGGTTTCCCACAGTTAGAAAAGATGCATGCAGTTTTTAAAATGTAAACAATTTGGTAACACACTGGAGGAGATCTGTCTTTTTAAAATTGAGTTTGAAATGATGCAGTAAGGTTAAACAAAACCTAATAATCACACTTGTTCATTTGTAGTTTTTGTTTAAAAGAAGTACTTACTTGATGGAGAAACAAGGGGAATTTTTTTTACTTTTATTAGTCTCATTTCTATAGTTCATACCACTAGAGCACTAAAGTAGTGAAATGTTCATGCCGCCTTAAAGTGCAAAAAACAAGCTAATGGCCAAACTTTCAGCTCAAGGAAACAAGACTGCTTTTAGACTGTACCACAACTATATAGATTTATATATATATATATAATATATATAAAAATTCTATTTCCAAAGTTCTTGCGAGCTATCTTCTAATGTCCAGTCTCTGACAGTAGGTAAGCTCAGTGCTTCACTTTTGACAGACAATGAGTTCACCAACTCACAGTGAAACTTCCGAATGTGTCTGTAAAGGTCTCCAGACTGTGTGAACCTGCGCTCACACCACTTACAAGCATGCGGCTTCTCCCGTGTGTGAACTACAGCATGGCGGCTGAGATTGTGGGAGTATTGGAAGCTCTTTCCACACTGGGTGCAAGTGTAGGGTTTTTCACCTGAATGAGTCCTCTCATGACGCTTCAAAGTGTACATGCAAGAAAAAGTCTTACCACACAAGGAGCAGGTCGGGACATTGACATCAGTAGCAGGCTTGCTGCGGATCCCGTCCTGCTCTCGAAAGTGCGTACTTAAGTGAATCTGTAGAATGTGGGGGCTAGGAAAAACTTTGTTGCAGAGGGGACACATAAAAATTTGGCCTGCAGGGTTAAGTATGTTTGAGACATAGGGGAGCAGACTGCTGTCCATATTCCCTTCCACCTGAACTCTTTCGTTCTCTGGAGTTATCATTTCATCATCACTTGCTTTGTCCTCCCTATCTAGCTCCCTCAAAACAGAATCTTCCCTCATAGGAGCCAAATGGGCTGGCTCATATGGTACCCTGTTATTAGTGCCCACACTTTCTTTCACAGTGCTATGTTCCATGTCATAGTCATTAGTGCCAACGTCACTCTCATCACAGGAAGCCTCTTTCTCCACCTTCACCTGCACCAGGTTGTTTCTAATCATGTCCTGTGAAGAGAAATAAGAACTGTTCAAATTCTCAACTCCAGAAAGACTGGACTTGACAGACAAGTCCAGGACACAGTCAACATCTGCTGAATCCCTCATGGAGGTGACAGACCTCTGGGACAAAGACTCTGTTGAGCTACAGGGGCTGGCTACTGTTTTTCCAGCTGCTGTTGTGTGTGTCTCTGCCTCGCCGCCACTCTGGGGAATGCCTGCTGAGTCCGAGGGCAATCTCATCCACATGTTCCCAGGTTCAGATGCCAAGTCCCTTTTGCTAGGCAGGATGCTCAGTTTCTCATCTTCCCCTTCATCTTCATCACTGGGTATATCTCCTGCCATGTGGCTACTGCCATCAGAGAGGCTCTCCACTTTGTCCGAACAACTCGAGGCATCTTCTTCCTTTTTTGTACTGTCTGCCTCTGTGGTGGCTTTTTCTTTTAGCTTCTTTTTGCAGACTTTAACAATGTCATACATGTGGAGATAACTGGCAGCTGCCAACACGTCTTCAATGGGTAAGTCTTTGAACTGGAGTTTCCCTTCATACATGAATTCAAGCAGGAGAGCGAAAGCTGGGGCTGTAACAATGTCGCTGTTCAGATGAACAATGTCTCTTTTGTCCAGCTGGTCCTTGTAAAATAGGTGGAAATACATGCTGCATGAAGCCAATACAGCTCTATGTGCTCGGAACTGGGCATCTCCTACCAGAACAGTGCAGTCACAAAGAAAACCCTGATGCCTCTGCTCGCTCAGACACTGTAGCAAATGCCTACTATGGTCAGGAAACTCCATGCTGTCTTCATAACCTAGAAGCAAAAAAGATTTAATTAAAACACAAATAGAAATCTCAGCGTTAAGTGAACAGATTTTTACACTTTGATGCTTCAACAATTTCTACCCACACAGGAACAGTTATTTTTAAAAAATCACAGGAAGATAAATAAATATTAGTAGCATGCAACAAATGATACGGATAAACTAGCTAACTTTTCATGGCTTCATTCTGTCCAGTCATTTTCTCACCCAAAGTTCCAAAGTTATATTAGGAAGCAGTTCTTCTAACAATCAATAAGTAAATTTTGAAAGAAATAAAGTATTCACAAAATTTAATGTCGTGACAGATGTTCCTATATGAAAGCCAAAGCAACTACTTGGGACGGAACATTCACAGGAAAAAATCATCAAAATGGCTTCTAAAATACTTGGGGAAAATGAATGATTGCTTTTTCACTTTCTATGACAAAATAATTCTGATTTACAAAAGCTTCAAAAGAATATACTAAAATTCAAACAAGCGACAGCTTCACAAAAGATGTCATCCCTCTGGTGGTATATTTCTGCTGGTATGTAGTAATGATAAAAAGTATTCAAGCAAGATTTACTACTTTTTATTTTATTTTCTGGGCATTACTGTTATGATGGTATGTGTAACCATTCTCTTTTGAAGGGAAGGTTTTTTTAAAAAAGGTACATTCAAAGTTTCTACTTAGAGCTTAATTATTTTCCTCATTTCTGTCATACACAATTGAAGTTGTTCTAGAGCAGTTCCATCTTTGGAAAGGGACAGAAAGATTCCTGTCCCAAGTATATTCTATAAAATACTACTGCTAAAATAAAGCAAGAAGATTTACAATACAATCACTTTAAGTGCCCCACAGCCAACATCAATCCTAATCCTTAAGAGGGCTAAAAATAAAGATTGGAGGGCAGCTCACAAGGTAGCTGTGATCAAATTAGGAGGCTGAAAGGACAGAGAGGGACGAAGAAGGAAGCTTATAAACATCTGATCCAGCTGACTGTGGCCATATGGCAGCTGCTGCCCAGATAAAGAGATTAAGAATAGAGGAGTGCGATTACAGCTGTCTGGCCAATTCAGGCAGCTCAAATCTACAAGTTCTAAATTAGTCGTGAATACAAAAACCTCCCCTCAAACAATTATCGTTGCACTGAAATAAACTTCCATATACATCTGAGAAAGAAAAAAAGAGAATGCAAGTTACTCTCAGTGTGGAGTTGGGATCTAAAGTTTAACAGACAAATGATTTCTGTTTTTCAAAAACAGAAGGTTTCCATAGTTCTCAGTGGCTGAGTCTTTAAGCAGAAGTCACTATGCAAAAGACATCCATATCTACTTTAGCTTCTGTCTTGCATCTCTCTTAAATACTCTTATTTCTGTTATCTCTAGGAAACAGTGCTATTAGAACATACATATCAACTGTATTGCCATTATTACCCCCCCAGACACAAACACACTATGAATTGCTGTTTCAGTGCTTGAGAATACAAAATAAAGGGCTATATAATTTAAAGAGTTGTTTCTTCCAGAACTGCATAAGAACAGACAACCCAACCCAATACATCTGCTGAGCCTCAATTGCCATAAGAACTCTCATCGCTTTTACAATGAATTGCACTTATTCTATCTAAACCTCATTAAACAAGGAATGGGATTTTTATTCTCAAATTAAATAAATACACACCAAAAGAAAAACCACACTGTAGCTTGCCTACTGCTATTCCTACCTTTAGTACACATAAACCTGATTAAGTCCTTTTGTCCGAGTCTTGCTGGCTCCAGGTCTGTTAGTTCAGTGGAAAAAAAGCAGACTAAGAGAGAGACAGATGCAAAGTGGAGATGATGTTAGAGAGGAATGAGATTT